CCATCCCTACACGCATGCGCCTGCATTCTTCGTTTTATGGGTAGGCTGAAGTCGCATCTTTCGAGTGCATCTGCTGATAGTGAATAACGTGCCGCTCCACGTGCATCTGATGGGCCTTGCCCAACATGCCTCGGACCTCGTCCGACCAGTCTTCTATTGGCATGTTGCAACTGCGCTGAAACCTGCGTAGTGCTCAATAGATTATGTGCAACTCCATATGCATCACTGGAAACTCGCCCCCGATGCCCTGGACCTAAGCCGACCTTACCACGATGGTTTCACCTTTCCTCTACTATACATAAGTCAACGGCCCGCTGGAAGCGAGCAACACGCGCTGAGGCGTGTCAGTTGACTTAAACATTCTTTCGTAATTGTGTGTACATGGACGGGCAATTCCCGTTTCATAAGTCGTATCAGATCATTGACATTATATACCTACTTACCCTTTTTGCAGATTCTGAGTTTTTGCAATTGCGTTGAGAGCAAACCAAATTACGGTTTGTCTCTTCAAAATATTGTGATCAACGTGCTGTTCATCACGACTCGTCATTTTGTCTAGAGGTACCATTGAGTTAATATTCTCTTTTAGCTCTGTGGCAGCATTTAGGTCTGACGGTGGCTCTCAAGCCATAGTTCCTCCCCCACTCAAGGTAGAGACCTCGCCCATTATGGAAGCAGGTACTTTAGAATAAATCTCATCGTTCACATAAAATGGAGAATGACTTGTCGAGACATGCATGGAGTTGTTCACGCAAACTTTGCAAGAGGTGCGCAATTTTTTTTACAGCGCACGCCAAAACTTTGACATGAAACGGGTTTCATGGTCAGATACGATCTCAATCGGATGGTCATGAAGACGGAAAACGACATCTTCAAAGACCTAAGCTGTATTCTTGGCAGAGATATTAGCCAAAACAGGCGCGAGCTGAACTATCTGGCTGAATCGGTACATATGCCACCGTGTCCTTGTGTGTCACGCGGGGGTTTAAATATGAAGTCCATACTCACAGACTTCCAACTTTCAGTTGGCACTGCTGAGGACCAAAGTGGGGCCTGAGTGAAACCCGATGGTTTCACTCTCTGGCAAATCTCACAAGTCCTCACATGCTTGCGCACCCACTTATACATATGTGGTTAATAGTAATTCCAGGAATAACTGAGATACGCTTTATCACGACCGAGATGATCATCCGAAGAGCTGTCATGATACCTATATAAGAGACGATGACGCAAATCTTCATCATTTGGGCAACAACTTTTTCAATATCTCCGTGTCTAACAGCAAAGTACAATAATTCATTGTGTACTCCAATAAGGTTACAACACGCGATCTTGTGCGAGACAGAAGATCTTGCAGTTCTTTATCAAAAGGGTCCTCGAAATACCTTAACAAGTCCTGACTGGTCTCATCAAACTTGTACTCTTCGACAATGTCTTCGCGCACTGTAGTCGTAGCTTGTACTCTGATCGTCCAAACATCTTCGTATTGTCGACATGGCTAGTGCATGTTTTCGCTCCTGGACTTTAATTCGGACGTCTTGACAACGCATCATCTAAGATATCGTCTATACTGGCTTCTAGTGTATAACAAAGGTGATTCCGCAAAGAATGAAATTCTCTGCAATAGATAAGCAGTTTTTACTGCCGTACGTAGCGTGGTATAATATGTATAGATCGCAAAGCGCTCCTCTCCAACCAAGTTCACACGGAACTTCACCAAAGCATACTTCATTGCTAAAAAAGCACTTTGTCATGAACTAGATAGTTTCGTTTTGCGGGCCAGTGCTGTCGCGACTGATACGGAACATCACGCTCTCGACCCTAGCCATTGTGTTGCATCAACGCACAACCGATGGCATAATCACTTGCATCGCGGGTCACATTAAAGCTTTATTGTGGTTTGCAATCGCAAGTTCACATACTTCTCTCAAGATCTTCGTCACTTTAGCCTATCAACGGTATTTTTTAAAAAGTCGTTAAGGGTTGCACCAACGCTGCATCATTGAGTGTATCGTTGTGCAAATAGCTGGCCAAGCTTACCTATTGTCTCAGCTGTTTCGCACTTATTGTTGGCATAGGCCAATCATTGATAGCTTTGACTTTCTCCGGATCTACACCAACGTCATTCCTGCCCAAAAAGCAGCCGAGAACGGGAATATCAGGTGAAAAGAAAATGCACAGTTTCAGGTTAGCGTAGAGCTCACTCTCTCGCATAAATGGAAGACATGCTGAAGATGATCAGATGAACATCAACATCAGACTCTTCAATCGTATTCTACCATAGCAAATATTTCGTCAAAGTATGTTGATGCAAAATCTTTAGATAGGTAAAAAAGATTCGTGACTATGCTGTTGAGAGTCACGGGGGCGTTTTAAACCTAATGGCATCACTTACCATCCCCACAGTAAACTACAAGGGGTACTGACTGCAGTTAGTTGTGCATCAATTTTGCGCCTCCGAATCTGATAGAAAACATTGTTTAGATCGATCAATTTGAAACTGTACTGCCAACCATCCATCAGGGAGCATATCTTTGCGTCGCATCGGAGTCTGGGTAAGGATAATCACTCCATTCAATTTATTAAAGGCTTGGACAAAGCGCCAACCATCTGTGGCTTCCTTTACACAGAAGGTTGGACTACAATGCAGAGACTTGCTCTCACGCACGTAACCAGCTTCTGTCGCTTTGCACTGACTTGTTCTTTTGGCAACGGCCACTGCCGCGTGATACAATACTTCGTACCAAGAAGTTGTCAAACTAATAACGAATGCCTCTGTCATACGGCAATTTGTACTGCGCACCTTGTCTGGGAATATACAAGCATATTTCTCGGCAAGTCCATACATAAGGCTGATCCTTAGAGGTCCTACAACTGCTCATCAAACTTTCTCTTCCATGTCTTCTCACTAAATACTTCCAAATTATTGATAACATCATCGATAGCTTTGGTTCATTAAAAATGTGCACCTATCAATGAGAACATGAAGTGCTCGAGATCCTTTCTAAGAACAAAAATATAAGCTTAACAGACTAATGCTATCGGGATCAGGCAACTTGCAGCCAAAAAGATGGATATAAAATTGCTCGCTTAGGAGCGTTCACCAGCTTTGAAAACGCGCAAGTGAGCCACGTCCAGGTGCTCCATAATTGGATGATGGCAAAAAAACAAAAACTTTCCACCGTGAAGTAGCAGGTATTGAATATTCGGGCCTGTGATGGGCTTGGCCGGTAAAAAAAAATTTCTTCAGGTGGGAAAGTCTAGGATAGCCATAGATTTGGTACTGCTAAAAAGTTTTCACAGTGTATCGCTTTGAAATCTTCGAAATGGGAGGTCGCGAGTGAAAATGAACACGTTCGTGCAATATCTCTGTAAGGAGGCGTTTACAACATTGGGTGGTTTAACGGGATAGACATCGCGGGTGCTCGCCCCGCATTATTAGGCGTATCCCGTGCGCTTAAAGATCCTGCCTTCATGTTCATGGGATGCGGCAACCTAACAGACGATTGTCAAGGATTAAAAATTCTTATGGCTACAAAGGCATCTAACCCTCTGTCGGAGATGGAATCGGCCGCCATCTTAATGTAGAGTCGCCAAATGGGTGCTCTATGCACCGAAACCTTTCTCGTCTTCTCATCTCCTATAAAGGACGGCGTAAACGTTGAATTTAATGCAGAGCATAATTTCCGTGCCGTGAGGACAGGATGAAGTGCTAACAATATAATCTCTACAAGCGCGCCAAATTAATGAGGTTCAGCCATATCAAGGAAGAAGAAGGCAATATCTTAGCTGCAGACCAACTCCGCGGTACGCGCAGATTTCCATAATGCGCCTTCAGAGCTCTTTCGTACTCAGCTGAAAACAAGGACAAAATCGAATTTACATGCAAGGGGAATAACCACCTTCTCGCGGAAGCCATGATGCTATTGTAACTCATAGAGGTCGCCCAAAAAGTGGCTCTTTCTTAGTAAGGCAGGGCTCACAATCCGTAGTTGTTGATTGTTCATATCAAGATCCCGAGCTGATAAAGACATAAAAGGTCGGGTAGATACAAGAGTGTCAACCAACTGCCGACAAAATATTATTGTCGAGAACAGTATACAGTACGCAAAAGCATTGATGATGCCAACTACGGATACGATTCTTACAACGAAGACCCTGGTGAAATTGTCGAGGATTTCGTTGATTTTTACGTAGTTATGGGGCAGCGTGGAACGTTGTCGATTCCTGGACTTGATTTGAGACACGATCTCATTTTTAGTTGGACGTGGCCAGAACGCCACGAACCATGGGTAAGCAGGAAATTGGAAAAGCATTGCTGAGTCATGAACTCGCTTCTACCGGGAGACAGAACGCGCTTTTGGTGTACACATAAAGCAGCACCAAATTTAGTACAGGACATGTTATAATCGGAAATCGAGAGCTAAGATATTGCTAGGTGCATCAAGCAGCGCTTGTAAGGTGGAAGCGACCGTAAGCCCCAATCGCAGGACGAGACGGAATCATTGATTATAATTCGCGGTTTCCATCGTGTAACATCTCTTGAACTGTATTTCATGGACCCCAGAGTGTGTCTTTGGCGGGACGGTAAGGAACAGCTAGGAGCTGTTATCCCACGACTTAGTCGTAGGATCGCCTACAAGTGCTTCTACGTGCAACAAGATTGTCGAACTTTGCTCAGAGGAAGATTTGACCTGAAAAGTCTGCGTTTACAATTGCAGATAGATATATTCTGTGCTCTGCTACCAGAAGCACCCGAAGTTTCTACACTTTTCTCCCGATCTGCTACTTCTAGAGTATATAATATTAGGATTAATGCCGTACTCTGCTCGATGGGCCAACAGAACGTGCCAACTGAGTAGCAGCCCAACGTGAGAACGAGTTCTCTGTTTTCGGTCTTCATATACCGATATTTTGGTAGTTATGAATATTCATATACCTACCAAATGGCAAAGTGAATTTCGTACAACTGTTCCAACATGCCTTGTCATTAAGTATTAATGAGCGCCACACAAAGTGCTGCAGGTTTACAAGAAGTTTCAATTGATCTATAAGTCCGATTGACTCCACCACGTAGTGGATTTGGTTTTGATGAGGGAGAGTTTTTGATGCCGACAATTTTATTGATTTCAGAGCGGCTTCACTTCTTGGCAAAAGCGCTATACTGTGGAAGATATTGCGCTGAGTGCACGACGCAATGTTATGCAAAAGCAACAGTCAAATGCCAAAGCTTTGAGAGATAATTCGATATTTAACGTTGCCGATTAATTTTAACCAACAGCATTCAATCTTCCCACGAATGCCAGGTCTAGGTCTAGACAACGTGCCATGGTGTTAAAGTCGGCAGTTTTTTTGTCTTCGTCGCATGACGCACGGGTTTCAAATCTGCATTCGACAGCTTCGATGTATCTGCGTGGTATCTACTATTTTTAGACGTCGGGCATAGATTGACGACACGATAGAACCTTTCACGGCTTCACAAAGTCTGTCTGGGACGTTGATGTCGACAACCAGCAACCCTGGGCTGAAGCTCCTTTTCTGAAACTCAACCTCTTAATGGCTGGACTCCATTAAGGTAGACCCTCACAACGCCTTTTAGAGCTTGCATTATTCCCAACAGGTGCAAGATAGCAGTTTTGGATTTGACGACTCCTAACACGAAATATGTTAATCGACCTTCCGTGAGAACTCAACTTTTGTACCACCACCATAGAAAAAGTGGAAATATAGAACTACTTTGTTCTCGGAACTTGTGGTCCGCACTTCCTGCTGCACATATCGTATCCTCGACAATGATGGAATGATCGCGGTGCAAGCCCGGAATTTTCCATCAAGCTGATAATTTTCAAATCGGTCTATCGGTACTGCGGTAATTTGAGCATTCAACATTGGACAATATCCGCTAATTCTCTCCTCGATTTCTGACCCCGCAGATCACCACTTCTTAGGAAGGCTGAATAGCAGTGGTAACAATCCTGCACGTGTTATAATACAGTAGTCGGGTGACAGTACCGCTAAACATGGATTAATTTGAGCTCCGACTGGATAAGACGTGCCGTTTAGTAAAAGACGAAGTTATGCAACGTAGACTCAACCTCCAAGACCTGGTTGATAGTATAATCATGCAGGCTCATGAGTATGAAAAGCGCTGTTAACAGATTTACTGGAACAAGGGCCAGCTCCCGCCGTGACATCGAAATTGTGCTATTTACTTCGGAAGTCAGGCTAAAGTCTGTTTTATTAAACCAGCGAAAAAGCCACATACAGGTAATGATCACGTCACGAAGCAAGATGTAAATCATCTTGACTTATACTTGGGGTACGCTCTGTAGCAGTCTATCCAGCGTCATGTTGGTACCACAACATGTATCAAATTCAGGATATTCACCGTCATGTAATTATCTTGATGTAGCAAAAGGACAGAAAAGTTTTGCCATGAGTGGCAATACCATGTGTTCAAAGCAAATATGTTTTCATACTGGCTATTACGTAATCCAAAATTTGCCACAGCGTAAAGATTTATAAAATAATTGTATCGAAGTTTTGTGAGTGAAGCACTCGATGTTGCGACTGTGGACGCCGACATCATATAATCTGACTCTGGATTCAGTCCGAGATTTTTAAGACGCTTCATCAGTAATACTGCAGGAAACCACCTTGGACATCATTAAGAGGAAACGGAATATTTGTATCAGCCGAGAATATGTCGTGTATGCCATACTTGCAACTATCTGTGATACCATTTCTTCTTCTTACTCGTAATACGACTGTACACCACGGCAGCTCGACGACCTCGTCGGGAAATAGTGAGCGTCGTCAGTGACATATTTGGAGCAGCTGATGATGGAGCTTTCCACGAGTCCAGTAAGGAATAACGGCGCTCCGCGTTTATGTCATATGTTTCGTTCTGACTTGTTTCCAATAGAGCTTCGCCAGATGCTTGATCGCGTGGTCGGGCTGAAAGCAGTTGTGAAGCAAAGTTGCTTGTCTTGATGTTACTCGTGGGAATGCTGCCTGCACCAGTCGTTATGTTGCCAGTTGCATTCACTCTTATCACATCAGTTTTGTGGGTTTTGTTTGGTATACTTCCACGGCGCAAATGAATAGCAGGAACGTGCTCTTCATTTTTGTGCTCTTCATACTCGGCTGCCTTCTTTGAGTGATACTGCGTGTCAATCGGTTCGTATCGAGCCCCTAAAATCGAGAAACGGACCGACGTCGGAGATGGCAAGGGAGAATGGCACACACCTTCGCCTTTAAATAAGAAGCTACGAGAGGCGATTACTTCGGTAAGCTCCATAGCACCACTAGCAAAATTAATGCTTTTAGGAGGTGCTTGTATTAAGGAGCCGTCGATGTCAATCTCGCGGTCGGTCGGCATTCTCTTGACATCTACTCGGACGGACGAGTCTCTCTCAATATCCACGTCAAAGCTTCGCATACTTGACACATCTTCTCGCGCTCTATCCACATCAAAACTGTGCGTGCTAGTGACGCCTTGATTAACTGATACTATCGTTGATATATCCGGTAATTGTTGGTGTTCTGTCTTGATCGGATTCCGGCGCATTGATGACCGCTTTTCAAGCGTAAAGTTTTGCCAGCGTCCCATGAAACTGCGTGAGCTCGGATTAACTTGCATTTCTTTTTCGGTACGAAGAATACGCAGGACTCGATTAGCATTTGAAAGTAGTGAAGGTTCGATCTGCTCCTTCTTTTCAATTAGCCCTTCCAGGAAGACAAGCATCTGAGAATAGTAGTTGAGGTCTTTTAACCAGTACTCGGGGCCATATTTCGATTCATTTTCCGTTACCGACAAATTCCGTGCCTCCAACACCCGACGAAGCACCTTCAGTAAAGGTGGAATATCTGGATGCTGCATCGTTACTCGACAAATCAGCAGCTCGACAAACTCCTTCGATGTAATCTCAGGGAATTGTACTAAATGCCGAGCAATACGTAACACGCAGCGATATGGAAAGCTTGTGATCAAGTGTTGATTGCAATACCGCACAAGTTTTACGATTTGTTCCGGCATGCATTTGTTTGATATGCTTTCGTCGATGTCAAGTGAAGCTCGCAAAATGTGCGTCATTGCCATAGTGTACTTGTCAATGGCATCAGCAATTATCTTGATATTGTTAGGTGGATTTTGTAAATCGAAGCGCATTAATTGATCTAGATCAGTCCTCCACAACTGAAATAATAGCTCGAGATTGTAGGCTGGATTTGTCAACTTATCTGCATCTGGTTGAGATAAGAAGCGATCGATGTATAGACCTGCCACAACACTGTGAGGGCACGAAATTACATCTGTTTCATCGTCAAGTAGAACCGAGTCTCGCTTCGCAACCGATCGCTCCATTCGATTTCGACAAATAACCTGATCAAGTTTCTTGCGTACTTCCATTCGCCTGTGAGAATCCCAGATTAAATCGCTTTTTTCGTGATTGTCATCAAAGAATCGCGTTGCCTTACTCGGATCCAGATGAATTTGGTACACGATTGGGTACGGCAGAAATCTACAAAGTCCGCTATACATCTTTTCCCGCAAGTCTAAGTCTTTCATTAATAAAGAATGCAGCACTTCAAATGCGGGCTCACGCAGTGCTTCAGCTCGTAAAAAGTGTTCATGTAGAACGTGTTGTCTCGACTGAAGCGCAATGCCTAAAATCTCCACCCATAGACCACTTTCTTGTACATATCGAGCGATCACTAGGCAGGTGTCACATAATTCAGCCAAGCAAGAAAGTGCGTAAAATGCCTGCTCATACTTTAGGTGATCAGCGATTACCTGAAGACACCACGTAAATTGGCAAAAAGGAGCCAGCATACGCTCCAAGTTACACTCAAATCCACAGAGTTTGTTTAAAATTAGCAGTGCCATTTCTTGGCGGGCTAAATAGTCCACATTCCCAAATTCCGTTTCCATTGAGGTGAAGATATTGTCAGGTTCAGTTTTGGCTTTGAACCCGTACGTCGACAGCGATCGACGAGATGATATTGACACTGCTGCATTTGCTTTATTATTACCATCGAACGGCAATAGATATCTGCCGAGCGTTGCCACTGAAATGGAAGCATTTACTGCATCCTCGTCGTCAACATGCTGCTCCAGACACTCCACAATAGCAGAACGAAAAAGTGGCAAGTCACACAAAAGACTTATGCAATCCAAAGCCGGCATCGTATCGGAATAAATTCCGAGCTTGGGATCTCTGTTTTCATTTAGAAAACAGAAGAGAGCTTCTACAAAGTCAATTGCTGTCGTCGGGTATAATGTATTTTCTGTTATGGCTGTCAGATGCCCATCCGACTTTTCCAGTAAAATAAGCAAATAAATACCACCGACAAAAGGCTCGGTGCTAAGGCAATCGTACATGTAGTGTGTGGCACTCTCCAGAAACGAGACCCCATCACCATTAGAGTCCGTGCAAAATTCTTCCGTCAGCTTTGAAAGTTCAGCTCTTGTACTTTCATTCCAGATGCAAGTCGGCTCACGAATGTCGGATAGTAAGATGTTACAGAAGTCATGCCCATTTGGCTTTTCAAGGCGATCCAAAAAGTCCAGCGGAAGAAGGTTCGCCAAAGCTTCAAGCCCAATAGATCGATTGTTTCCATCTGGTCCCAATGTAAGCGAGCGAAGAGCATTAAAAGCGCTTTCTATCATTTCACGCTCTTGTTTTTCTAACATGGTTGTACTTTCCTGCTCTCCATCAACAACCAAAGAACTTTCAGCTGATGCCAGAATCAAATATAGCCCCTTCCAGAATATCCGTGTATATGTCATTATTTGGTGCTGTAGTCCTGGATTGCGACAAAGTGATGACGCGATATCAAAAGACATTTTCTGGATGTGCCACGGTTGAATGTTTTCAAACGAGAGAATGACATCGTCCATCATCGAATATATACGCCCTGCATACGTAGAATTGCTCTCTTCGTTCTGCGACGCATATTCTGACGCAGAGAAAAGAGTCAAGCTATCGACATCTCTCAACGAGCTAAGATCGGGCTGTTTTGACGGGTGTGCGCCAAGCGACGCACCTCTATCCGCCTTCAAAAGCGATTGTACTCCCTCCTCGGAATCAAGGATCATCTTCAAAACTGAAAACATGCATTCCTTAGCTGCCACGTCATTACCAAGTGCGCATCTTTCTGTTAAGTCAAGAAGTGCGACCCAGCTCCCATCGATTGCAACGAGAAACGGGCCATTGTGAGGCGCGATGGAAAGCAAGCGTTGTAAAAACTTCATCGCGAAGTCTTGAACTCTAAAATCTTCACTCAGTCGAGGTTCCAGCGCGCGGATAAGTAAATCAAGGATTGACGACTCAAATGAGAAAAAGTGGGAGCTATACTTGTTCAGCAACTGCAATTGCAACTTTAAAATATGCTCAACAGTTTCATTCGACGTCTTCCCACCATCAGCCGTATTCTTGCACTCGAGGACAGCACACAGTGAGTTATAAGCTCGGCGAAGTGAGCCCACTTCGACTTGTTGCTGACAGAGCTCCCGATAGCGCGACCGCAACTCTTTCGAAGAATACTTATCACCTTCTCTCCAGCCAAACGTTTTGTATGCGTCTGAATGACAAATGTTGTCCTTCGACCCCTCAGCCTGACGACGTGCTAGAAATCGCCACTTTTCTTCAGCTCTTTTCATCAAAAAAACAGGATCCTCTACCTCGATGTTATACAGCTCAGACTGGTTGATACTTGAAGTGTAAATACCTTCGAAGTATAGATCTCCAGACAATTCCCGGTAAAAAACTGGAGGGATCGAAGTGTAGATATATTTCGCAGTAACGCTCACTTTCAATCTCTCTTGAAAGTCACGAAGATGCTCGCCGATCATTTCTTGTAAATGTGATCTCATCTTTGAAGACCAAAGAACGCGCTTGTCACGCTTACGACCGCAATATACGTCGGCAAAGTACTCTGAGCTCTCCAAATCCAGCACGCTTGTAAGTGAATCAGGCAGCATATCAGCTAAGCAGCTGTGACCGGCTAGCCGCTCCGATGACCGCTCAGCTCGATGGATCCGCTTCAGCAGTGCTGCCTCTGGAACAAAAGAAGGTACCTTATCTTCTGCTCTCGGGTTCGTAACTGCTGATAGAATAAAGTAAAAGACGCCATATTGGTACAGACTTTGTAGCTCTTCCACGTCCAGGGACATTAACAACTCGCAGGTGTACCTTCTTACGGTCGCAATATTTACGTAGAGCAGCTGAACTAGCAGTGTTAGCGACGACGTATTAGCTAATACGGTATTCATCAAAGCCGGAGGGAAGACACTCATATCCTTTGCCCCGACAGTAAGCTGGTCTTTCACTAAAAAATTTCTCAACGTCTTTAAGGCAAATGCTGCAAAACTTGCGTCAATCGGCTCGTCGACAAGTTCCATCCAACGCAGCTCGGGAAATTCAAACATCGACTTCCAGCTGTGCTCATCAATTCCCAAGTTGGTAGATTCATGCATGGAGCAGCAGCAAACATACAGCACATCGATATGGCGATGACAAAAGGAAGAGTCCGCATTCATATACTCTTTCAGTCCGTTTAGAAAGAATGGGCCTTCGATTTTACTATCATCTGTCTCCATTGTCTTTGACATAATGCTCCATTTTAGAGCATATCTTGACTCCTCATAGACAGAGAGTTCTGCTATCGGAACGGATGACGTATCATTTGCTTCAGAATTTATGAAGGATTCCATCATTGGCATGTCACCAGTAAGACTGATCAAGTCGCTTTTTTTCGGTACTAATCTGCATCTGTGCAACAGTAATGACATGTTTAGCAGCACATTTATGAGATTTGTAGTGCATAACTGGGCGCAAGCCTCATCGGATAAACTTAATCCGGAAATTAATTCGACAATATCTCGAATCTCGACTGCACGGTACGAGTTGTACAGTAATGTGGTAAGAAATCGAGCTCGATGCATCGTAGTCGGCCGAGCATCAGGAAATGCGCAAGCTAACTCTATCATGACTTTCAGCATCATATGACCGTGGTGATCCCTTTCAGCCAGAAAAATAGTGTTGTTGACACTCGCAGATAAATCGTTCGTACCTGAAAATCGAATTTGGTTGAGATGAAGATGCTCTATCCAACACTGATAAACCTCATTGAAAAAATTTGCTGGGTCTTTAGCGATATCCATACTAGCCAAAAAGAGACTGCTTGGGTCCTTAACTTTTCCCCGATACGTACCTGCTTCCATGGCATGAACAGTGTTGGCAACTTCTGCCAGTCGTAGTGTGCCATCATCTATCCTTTCCGTAATTACACGTATATAAAAATGACTAACCTGGAGCTCCTGGGCAATACTTTCGTACCGCACCGAAAATTGGGCGTGATTCCACTTGACTTCGCTGCTCGCTCCATGGGATTCAATCAGCGATATCGTAGCTGCTTGGTTGGATCTGAAGCGGTCGTATGTTTCGATTGCTGTCAAAAGGGCATCGTTCAGCTCGGTTCGCGTTGATTCATTCCAAATTAAATCTGGAAGCATGAAGTCATTCCTAACCATGCCCGATAATAATGCCATGTCAGTCGAGGATTCCCCAGGATAATTCAAATGGGAGTGATTCCCCGAAACGCGTGTTTCATTTCCAAAATCACTTGCGAATAATATTCCGATCTGAAGCTGCATGCGACGTATAAACCACCCTGATTTATCAGCCACTATTTGCGAATTGTGCATGCTGTCCTGTTGGACCGAATTAGTCTTGCGTGCCCGCTGCTTCTTCAATAGTTTTCGTATGATTGGGTTCGAGATCATACGTATAAACCCGTGTGGAAGAATTCTACCAAGCATTTCATGTGAGGCCTTGTGGTGGGTCACCCAAATACTCGTAATATACTGATACGTCTCCTTTGCATTGTCCAAAGGGTGAAAAAACGCTTTATACAGGTGCTTCACAGTCAGTCCCGAATCCAGAGCCGAGTCGCAAATTCGTCGTCTCACCTTGTAATCAACGTGATCAATGACAACCTTTAAGACACATATAACTGCTGCTGCCAATCCTGCGTTTGCACTTTGAGACGCCAATTCTAGCAAAAGAGTATATTTTCCCCCAAGATCTTTCACAATCGCAAAAAAATGACTATCGTCCGTGCTTGAGCGAGATATAACGAGTGCATCAAGGATCAAGTGTAAGACAACCAACGTAGCGCTGGAATTGCGTCGTTCTAGTAGGCATGTTAGTAGAGTAATTAGCTTTTTATGCTCAAACACCTGAAAGCGAATGGCCTTCTCGACAACTCGATGTGCTTTAGAACGCGACTTGTCAGCAATCAACGAGTGTAACGCATTAACTGCCCACAAAGTTGCAACTGGGTCACCTGAGACCAAAACTTGAGCAAGTGTTGAAACCAGTACCATAGCGCCATTGTTGAGATCCTCCATTGCAAGCCGATAGCAGCCATCATTAACTCGACAAAACGCTTCTAGAACAACACAGACTTCGTTTGTACGTATCGGCGGTTTGCAGGAATATTCAAGCTATGACAAAACATGCATCAAAGCCACTTAGACGTAATTCTTACTGAAACGTTCTAGCGAAAGATCACCTACCAAATTGTTGATTCCTCTAAGCAATGTACTGAATGATAGCTTCTCTAAGCGTCCACGCAAAAAAATTTCTGCGAAATCTTCCACTTCGACATTTGTATTTAAATTTTCGAAGGCGAGCATGACCTTATTTGTTGTGGATATGATACTCATACCCTCCCCACTTACCATTCCAATCTCCTTCTCCAATGCTGCATGTGCTGGAATATAAAGCCCATCATGATTGTGATAAAGAAAACGCTCCTGCTCGTCTCTTAACAGTGCCCTAGCGGACAGTCTTGGATTCAGGTTGGAGAACTCGCGGCTCAGGGAGACATTATAATTGCCAACGTAACGAACTCCGTCGTAAAGCGCTGCCAAAAAACTTTCGATGTCATATGGCACGTAAGCCACACGACTGCAGTCGACGAAAACCAGTGCCACCAAAGCTTGCAGATCAAAATTTTTCAGCTCAGGCATCACAATTTGCCTCAAAGTCTTCAGCTCATATATCTTCTTCGAGCTATTGGAATACTCTTCGATATGTCCGTCTATAAAACAAAGCCTTTTCTTTTTTAGGTGTGAAGATCCATGTCGACCAGTACATCTCTGCACATCAAAAAAAATATTTGATTGAAATTCGGATTTATCAAGAGGCTTTCGGACTTGCTGAAGAGGAAGTTTAGACTGAGACTTCAAACAAAGATGAATTCCTATCACTCCAGCAAATGCTTTCATTCTTTCAATGATATCGTTGCTTTGTTCGGAGTAAATTAATCTGAATTTGTTTTTCAGTGTGAGAACAAACGCATCTGGGGTTGCTGTCGCTTGAGTGATTTCGTTAATTTTACGGAACTCAAACTCATGAGTGTGATTCGATACAATATGTACCGCAATCAAGGCCCGTGGAGTCACATAAAACTTGGTTCTATCTCGTTGACCATCCGCCAATCCCATATACCCAATGAAATGACTACAACTAACATTATACACGCGCTCAAACTCGTCAACATCCCCCACTAAATGACTCATCAGCTCCTGTAAGAAAACATTGCGACACCTGTACCGAAGACGCAAGAAAATCGGGTCGTCATACTGATCAATTCCCATCTTCAAACTACCACATGTTGCTTCAAAAAAATGTCTGTATTGCCTCAAAAGCATTTCTGGATTCTGAACAACCAGCCCATTTGCCTGGACACCAGACGCACCACTTGAAAAAGATAGAGATGACAGCAAATTACTGCTCCGGCTTGATGCAAAATTGTTTCTTTTAGATGAATACATTGGAGGTCTCGATAGTGGAGATGCAAGCGCTTTTCGTTTGCTGTCTGGCCCGAAGTTTAACGTCTCGCCAAAACTTAAAGAATGACGAGGAATTTTTCCATCGTTAGACCGCAAGGGAGATCCCAAATTGCCAAAGTGCAAAAAAGCCGGATTTTTCGTCATTCTGCTAAGAATGCCGACACAGGCTTCAGCTGTGTTCAAGGCAGGAAAGCTGAAAAGGATGCGCAGCATCATGCGATATTTTGTCGCCAAGCTTTGGTAAAACGTGTCTGAAATTTCTCGCTGCTTTTCAGCTTTTACCTTCACCAGAAGCAAGATGAATTGGCACAGTTTCATTGTCGGGAGATCAGACAAAAAGAGACCCGTCTTTTCAAACGCGAACGCTTATATTAGTAATCATGGCATCAGATAGTACTTAAGAACTCACATGTGAATCCTCATCAAGTAGTGACAGAAGCGTCGTCGTAAACGCTCGATTTGTTAAAAATAGTTGCCGACACTGAAGCTTGTGCAATTTTGATTCCATCAATCGACTCAGCACCATAAACATCCAGTAAATAGCAACTGACTTCTTGCTTCTTAGTACCTTCAAAATTGTGTAGACATATTCGTCTTCCCGCTAAATAGTATCAAACACATATTCGCAAAGTTATTTAAATATGCCAAACAATTCCAGTAAGCACAACATACATTTTACCTCGGTCAGTATCTTCATGAATTCGTTGATGGCAGGTGGCGCAAGCGTCAATCGGTAGAGTGACTCGAGGTATGTGCCTACAAACTCATGCGTCGCACCATGCCGACGAACAATGTCATCAAATTCACGTGCCAGTACATAAGTAGCCTTTTCGTAAGGTTTATTGGGTTGTGCGACCACACCAGGCGTTGAGGTGTTTGCATTCAGTTCCATAGCCAGTGAGTGCATCTCTACGTCAAGGCCACGAGGAAGTTGTCGTTGGGAGCGAGCCGTCTTCCGGTGGCCATGCACTGCCAGTAACTGTAAAATACTAGCTTGTGCGACCCTAAGCTCACGATTCACATTCGTTACGGCATTTGCGATTTGATTGCCTTCTTGCAGGATAATTTTGCGCGGGATCATGCGCACTGAGTCCAATTCGTCTGTCGACTCGACTCCCACTTGATAGTTCCCCAATGCGTGACAAGATGCTAGCAATTCGCAAACAATTTTTTCGCAATGTGCGGAGATATATTGACGCTTCACGCCGTCCACGAAAATGACTTCAAACGTTTGATGCTCGTGCATGATTAATGAGTATATTTTATGTAAGGGTCGACTAACAATCACCGTCTCGGCGTCTCCATACTCGGTGAGGAACCTTTCTGACGCAGACAAAGTACGAAGGGTAGTACTGTGCTCGCTCGACTGCGAGACATACAAAACTGTGTACTCGAACGATATACATGTTGTCAATGATACTTTCCCATTTTCTTGGAGGGCTGCTTTCAGAGTTTTTTTTCGATATTCATTAATCTGCATTCCGTAAGCGTTCATAACGCTAGTGATGGCTCGTGCCAGCTCCAAGCGTTTCGAGACGATAAATAAACTGGAATTATCCGAGTCATTCAACATAATAGCCTCGTCATCATCGCAAATAATGTCGATGGACACAAGACTCGTGTACGAGATGTGACTCATAACATCCCCCTCCGAGTCTCGCTGATAAATGCCATCTGGACAAATTTCCACGACGCAAGACGAATGTACGCCACTCTTATGGTACTTCAGGCAAGGGAACGCATATATCTGCAGCTCGGGATACAAAGGCTGCGGGGCATTGGGCAACTTAGCGTAATGTTGGCTTCGTAGACGCAAGAGACACACGAGCACCTCCATCCGGTATTGACAGCGATAGACCGTCTTCTTAATGCGATGCCGCGGTGTGTGAACAATGAAATCCGTCTCACCCTCAAGCACGTCCGCACCGTCTACGTCCTCATATGCCCATGTATTGGTCACCTGCTGGTTTTCTCTGTCCACCGTTGAAAACGAGTATTCTCCGAGACACAGAACACGGTCCTTGACCACAAAACTACCCACTTTGTGCACCAAGAAGCGCGCCAACACGTGCTTGCTCTCCGTCGTCATACAAGCAGGGCTGGAATTTTAGTTATGATTTGCTTCTTGGGATGTAGTGGATTCTCGTCGACTCCATAATGACGCTACGGTAGAGAGCACGAAAGGTCGCGAAAAAACATTAACTACCTACCTTATCGTTAATGAAATTTTACATAATTGTATGGCTTGCTCGAATAAATTCCGAGTCGCTACTCTGTTCCTCTGCACTCGACGTCGTGTTCCTGATTCAAGCAAAAAGCACTGAAAGTATTGTTTTACTTCATACTCCTCTTTTGCGAGGACTGTATTGTTTCAGTGTGCCTAGAGAAAACACGGCATGTCTTCGCATTCTTTTAGGGAAATTCCAAGTGAAATCTAAACCTTTTTTCGCTAACATTCCATGTGAAGCCTAATTTTGTAATTCGCTGTAACTGTGACCGTCGCGGTCGCAGCTTAGTCATACACTACAAACACTACCTCTGTCGGTATGTTCGATTCACTCAAAAAAGCTTGGGCTACATAAGAAATTCGTGTATGTTTCAGCATCGACGTGTTGCTTTCATTTATCTTGGCTCTCAGAAATAGTGTCGCGTACGCTACGCATTGCGCTCAATCTCACCGAGATGATTTCGCTGAATGTGCAACGAAGTGTAGCCGGGCTGATCTCAGCCAGTCGGTTTAACTGACTAATTGACAGTCCTCCTCTTCAGCAGGGCTGTCGTAGTTCTTTGCTTCAAGGAAGCTAAGCTACGGTCACTGACCTTACGTTCTTCACAAGAACCAGTACGAGTGTAGCGGATTGCAATCCGCAAACTCCAAGTACTAAAACCTGTAAAGACGCTCTCTCGTTCAAAATTGAAACTGTATTTAATTGTTTTAGTTGCGGCAGAGCCGCCAGTATCTAAAATTTGGGTTTTCTAAATTAAGATAAAAATACCTAATTAATATGCATTACTTTTGGTAATCCTGCCACGTAGTGGTGTGGCCATACCACTGTGTGATTACACCAGCTTGCGTAATCCACACCTATGTACATTCACGTCATCTTGTGCGATCCGCCCTTTCATACAAGGGTACGTGTAATCCCGTTACACTTTTCCCCATTAAAATTGTGAATATGCGCAATTCACGTTAAGCGGTTGCCTCATACGAGGCTCGCATGTCTGAGACACCGTTGCGTTCTTAAGACAAATTTGAGCATTCGCCGCTCATTGAGCCCTGTGTCAACGACATGGAAAACACCCAGTCTTGCTGATTCTGAGGGCAAATCCTTCTTCTTCTGCACAGGGTGCATCTCCGGACAGTACGTCCGCGGCCTCACGGGAAGCACATCCCAAGCCCTGGCCGGCCTATCCTTGTCGAAGATCTGGAGGAAGTCAACTACGAGTCGGACAATTATTTCCCGGCATGGGAAGATGAGGAGGATGAGGTGCGCCAACGGCGCGACGTGAGCCCAGCTCGAACCTTGCGAATACCGTGTCCGCTCCCCGACCTCTCGGCTTCCGGGGGAAATTGTTTTATTTTCAACTGCCTCGACAAGGCACAGGAGCAGCGATTGGAGGCTGCTTACCAGACGGCTCTCATGCGCTCGTATTCACGGTCGATTCTAATCCCTCGTGTGGAATACGGCTTCCGCTCGGCGGATCCGCTCTTGAAGCGAAAGACGCGATCACTCGATCGCTGGACGTCTACTTAGTCAAGCCCCCGGTTAACACACAAGCTGAACTTGATCAGCGGAAAGCTCTCCGAGCTTGCTTTTTGGTACCACATAAAATCCAAATGGATCGGTACCGCGCTCGACTTCGAGCTCATATAGGGGCGCTCCTGTACCTGAAATTGCGGACTATTCCTGTAGTGCTCGTCCCTGGCGAAACGCTGCAGACGATGAAAAGATCTTTTAGCGATGGGTGCAGCGGCACCGGAAACTTTCATCGCTGTCTCCCTTACAACGAAGCCACAAGAAAGTGGACGTGCTCGTCGAGAGACATCTTAGGTACGAGTTTGCCAAACTCAAGGCGCAACGCCGTATTGCCGCCCAATGATATATGGAGCAATCCCTAATGCTCCCACGAGCCCTATGGTCTTTCACACGGGTGAGTCTACGACCACAACAGCTCAGGGCCATAGCCTGAGCTCAGCACATGGACCTCCGGCTTTCCGGGCTACTGCCGAAGAGCGCACGACGACGCGAAGCGTCATGATCCTTCCGACCACGAAGTCTGGGTAGTATTGCCGAAGTGGCACCTCAAACTCCATCGAGTTCTCGGCTCGGAGTTTGGGCATCTCCGCCACTTCACAATATATTAAGTTAGACTTTGTCGACGACGTCGAACCACAAGGCGTTCACGTGGTAGTGGACGCCACCATTCTCATCGAAATGAGTCGGCAGCGGGCGATGACGACTTGGTCAATAGCCGCATGGTGACTTGCGACGCTATTCGAGCGTTCGAGGACAATGTTCGTCATCGTCGACACTCTGCCGAGCATCTTGCCGAGGTCGCCTACCGCGGTGCGGAAGACCTAGAGAGCCTGGAGCACTTTGTGCACCGACTGCCTCACGTTGAGGATTTTTGCGCTCTGTCGAAGCGGCTCCTAGCCGTCGAGCAGACGAATACGTTACTTCTTGCGACGGTGGAGCGCCTTGCGCCGCTGGAAACGGAAATTGTTGCACTGCGTGCTCAGAACTAGTTGCTGGTTCAGCTTCTGGGCAACCAGGCGCCGCTTCGGCGCCAACACTTCGGCGTTCACTTGCACTGGATCCCGTTACAACTTATGTAAGCCCACATAAAGCACCGGTTGGGTGTGCATCCTTCTCAGAAGGTTTAGCGTATATGCAAGGCCCCGCTTGGCCACGACATTAAAAGGTTCAATAGATCGCGGACGCAACTTTGTCTTAAAGACAGCAGAGACTGCATGTTTAGTATAATTTTTGCATTGAATAAAATCAGGTCTCCGACCTCACAGTTACCCATATTTCTTCTGCTTCTTCCGACTGTATAATATTACTGCATGTCTTGGCTTTCAGCCATCGCACGCGAACGTGTCGTAGGGCACTCAGTCTGGTAGATAGGGAGTCATCGACTTCTTTACGGACAGTGAGGGGCTGACATCAGCTAGCCGTTCTACCCAAACCCTGAACCATGGGATGGCGGCGTCATCGGAATGCGAGGATTAACAAGCCCGTCCACGCAGAACGGCGTGTAGCAACGACGCGATTCACGCGCTCAGTCTGACACATCGGTCCGCAGATAGATCGCTGTGGACATAGTCAAATTGGTGTCCAGCATCCTGAAGATTTTAGACCAAAAGTTCCCAGTGAAACGCGTATCTCCATCAGAGAAAATTGACCCGGGAGTCCATGCTAACGAAAGAGATCGATTAACGACGTCGCTGTACCCACACCATCGATGGTGTTGAGCACTGCCACAAGATGATCCATTTTGCTCACATAGACTACCACGCCCGTGTTGCCCGCCGCGTCCTTCGGTAGGCCGAACACAAGATTTATGCTCATGGAATACCAATACCCAGAGTGTAACGGGGTTACACATACCCTGGCAGGGGTGTGTGTCACACCAGATGGGCATGGTGGACCACACTTAAACAAGAATACGGTACAGGGCCGGATAGCCAGTAGTTATACATGTATTAAGATTTTACTATACGTTTTTAGGGAAATCTATGCATTGAGAATTTAGCGGCTTTGCCGCAGATAAAAATAAATAAAGTCAATTTTGGATTTAAACGAAATAGTTAATTTGCCTTGTGTTAGGGCAATAATTACTTTTGGAGCTAGCGAATTGCGAACCGCTAAACTCGTACTTGCTCTAAATATATAACAAAAGGTCGGTGACCTAACTTACGCTTCCTCGAACCGCAAAGCTACGGCAGCCCCGCTGCACAAAGGGTATCGGCAAACTGGACAGCGGCGCCGCCATATTCGGAGAGAACTTCAGCATTTTACACGTCTCGCATGTGTGAACATATGTGCTCGTTCATTTGTACAGCTTGGGCCATCAGTCGTGGCAACTCACAGAGCTGTAGGTCTTCTCACAACCGAGGATGACCACTGGGTGGGGTGTTATTGGTCTCATAAAGGATTCAATACTTCATATCTTCATCGTGAGGAACCACAATTCTTGGCATATCCGTTGAGTCGGTGCTATAATACAACGATCCGTTATTTAAATATATCGGCGTAACCGTGCGCGCAAACGCGCCGACAATTTATTGTCCGAGTCTTTCAAACAGACTATCACCCGCGTCTACGGCACGGATTCAATCCGTCACTGACGGCGTCACCGTCGTGATATGAACAAGCTCATCGTCCGGTCTGCGTGACAACGCATCAGCCAAAGCATTCTACCTTCCTGGTTTATATTTCACCTCAATGTTGTATTATGCAAAGAATAAGAGCCACCTGGCCAGCCTCTGCGAGAGGTGAGGCGACTGAGTCGCAGTGCGTAATAACGCATAATCTGTGTAGATCAAAGACAGCTTTGATCCCAGCAAGTGCGCTCTGAACGTGACTAGTGCATACTTCATCTCGAGTAATTCCTGGTCGTGGACTGGGTAGTTCCCCCCGCAGCCTTAAGCTGGCGAGAATCGAACGCGATCACTCGATCTAGCCCCCTCGGCGTCTTCTTACGGCAGTGCACAGCCGATGACAAGTCCGAAGAGTCACAGACGACACTTAAAGGACGATCGGGGTCTGGAAACGCCATTATTGGTGGATGATGGGCGCTGTCTTTGACCAAATTGAGCTTGTGTATGTGGATCTGTCGCACAAGTCAGCTTTTATATACGCATTAAAAATGAGGTAGTCCCCTCATCGCTGCGCGCTTATCAGTATTCGGAGGCGTTCAGCCTTGTATCCAATGAGACCCTTGATATCTATCTATTACAGCTGTCTCGTGGAGACGATCAAGTTGCGCTGTAACCTCGATATCCAGGTCGTGCTATCGTTCATGCAACATCAAGCGCGAGTCAACGCTCCAGGCAAACATTCGCTTTAGTAAAGCCGGCTTGTAACGCCTTAAGACGCCTGAGGCGGCGTTGATATCAATTAAGTGCTCGATCTGAGTCACGTACTCAGCGATGCTGTCGCCAGCTACAATGACCCCAAGGTGCAGTCCCTAGAAGATATTACGGAAGTCCTTAACCGCACGATGTCACAGTGAGGGGAAAATAGCAATCGTATATTGCAATCTTCGGTATGTAAAATGCTGAAACACCGATGGTGCGTCACGGTTCCCGGAGTGAACATCCGATGATACATTTGACAGCAGCTGTGAGCTGGGGTCTCCGAAACTCCAGCAGTTTCATTTAAAGATAGCCGTGTGGCAGGGCTAGATCTTGAACAAACGATTCAAGGTGGCTTATTGACACAATATTTCGAGCAAGAGCCGTTTGGGAGAGGCGGCTGTTTGTCTCAAAATTAGTGCTGGTATCAAAGATGGTGACTAGTAGCTACATTGAATTTGCCCAGAATATAGTACGTTCCATTGGGCGCATACAGATAAGGTAGTCACCGATTTATGATGAGGCTTGCTAAATGCTGCTGTCCACACGGATGGACGCTATGCTTTTTCTTTTCAGAAATGGAAAGATGGGACGTGATTTTAACGTTTTTGATAAAATAATAAGAAATATTACAATATTAGAAAAATACTAAGATGTAGCAGATCTGAGTTTACAGCAAACGCGTCAAGAGAATCGCCATTCTTGCATATTGTGTCATGGAAAAATAGATATCTGCAATCTGACTCACTATCACACATTCTCAAAATGTTTGAAACTCGTTCCGCTGTTTTCAAAATCTGTGTTCAGTCCTACGCTTTCGGCCATACCGTCGGAATTGGGTCTTGATCCAAAGCAGTCCATCGCAAAGTCTTTGTTAACTTGGAAGCACAAAAATGCTTCAGCAATAGCTAAATTGTCGGCCAGCGCAGCCTCGCGTGCTGGGCCTTCAGTGCGCAAAAGTACGCGGTGTACATTGCTACGAATACTTTCGCCACTTGAGGAGGCAGCTGGCAGCGAAAGCACCATTTCCGCGTATGGTGCAATCAGTGGAAAACGCAATTGGTTTAGTTTCCACCATGATAACGGGTCGACATTGCGTTCCGAAACTGGTAGGCTCAGGAATGCGCTCAACTCTTTTTCCCACGTTGTGACCACCTCATAATCACCTTGAATAGAAGACCTCGATGTTTCTGACGGCAGATGCGAAAGCAGGTCATCATCTCCGTCGTCGGCGAGAGCTTCATCGTGAACCAAAGAACAGGGAGGCTCCTTACCATTTGCAAACGTAGATGCCGCCATTCTGGCCACCGAAATTGCGTCAGATCCTGACAGTACTGTGGGGCCAGAGCGATTCGATGATTGCACGACCTCGTCTTCTTGTACAATTATACGACGCAAATACTTTTTACCAATCTCACACTCAGATATGTAGGACAAATAACAATAATCCCGATTTTTGTAACGCGGGTCAAAAAGTGTCGCTGCGTAGCAAACGGGTGGTAGTGCTGCAAATCGATCACGCATTTTATGTGAGAGCGTCTCGAAAAATCGTTGGAGCATAGGAGCGGATTCACCTGGAGACTGTGCTTGCTTCTCTGCATACGTGACCAAAGCCGCCGCGATCGTTGATATACTCGAAATACCGTTCTTGTGTACCTCTTTGTCGCTGCCTGTTTTTTTGTTTTTCTCTCCCTCAAGCGCCTCCGAGTATCGAGAAAATGGTCGTAACTTCTTAATTAAAAGCCTGATGAACTCAACAGTTGACGTAGACAAGATGTTCACTAGGTTTGCGTTTGCAATCTGCTCGAGTGTTGGCAGGTATTCCATAAAATTTCTCAGAAAGTCATGATACGACATTGATTCGGAATCTTTAGTTAAAAGCTTAGCATGGAACTGTGGGCATTTTCGACTCAAGGCAAGCATCACCTCCTCACTATCCTTGAGTCGAGCCATAAATTCGTCGACTTGAGTCACAACATCTGGGAACGCTTTGACAAAAATATCTCGAGTGAGACAGACACGCAGATGCTGAACTGCAGATGTGAGAAGAAGTGTGTTTTGTGCTGCCTCAGATAAAGCCCTTCCGTCGAAGTTGACAGGTACAAAGAGCGATGGAATATCGGAAGCTTTGAGCTCAATTGTTACAGGCAGTTCGTCCTTAATAAAAGCGATAATTTTGTCTTTGATACCTAGTCGTTCCAAGTAAGAGTCGACTATATTTTTGATTGTCTCCACTTTACATGGTTCTTCCAGTGATGTGACTCCAACAGCAATTTCAAATAGCTTAAAATTCACACTAAAGTGAATCTTTACAGCCAGATACTGAGTCGGCTTAGGTGTTGTAGATGACGGAAGCTGCCAAAACTCAAGCGATACGGCGACACTCTTCGCTCTGGATACCAAGACTTTGATAGACTGAAACACGTTCTCCTTTAGTGAAAGGATACTTTTCCCCATTGCTTCTTCACTTGGCAGAGGTATTTTCTGGTTCCCAAGCAAATGGCCTATCATATACTGCATTCCTGGTTTCGTAGCAAAATCCACCGGCAGATTGTCCATTAATGCCATTAAAGCCAAGTCTTGTGTGAATTGCTCCGCACTGACTTGGCCTCCATACGAAGAGTCAAGCACTTCGCGTTGCTCCTTTATCACAGCCAGTCCCGGCGGGTAGGCATAAAATGTTGAAGACGGGTCCCTCTTTAAAGCAGTCGTATAGACACCCGGGGATCCGCCAGCTGAGGCCATGGCAGCGGCTACGGATT